CCACCTCCTACTTAAAAAACCCTGCCAACTTCTTCCTCAGTGATTGCACCCAGAGCATGGACGTGAATCATCAGAGCTAGACTTGGAAGAGAACGAGTGTCTCTAAAATCAGGCAGCAGAACCCCAGCCCCCTGGGAGAGAAAAGCAGACGATGGAGGAGGAGGGACCATGTCTTGGGATTGAGGATTTGGGCTGTGTAGGGGGCTTAGACCCACCTCTCGTTTGGTTATTCATCAGGCGTTTATTGAACACTGCCTGCCTGCCTGGCATTAGGGAATGCAGCAGGGACAAAAGTCCCTGGCCCTTGTGAACCGATGTTCCCGCTGGGGAAACAGAAGCATTCAGGAGAAATAAATAAGGAGATGCACTAAAGCGGGGGGAGGGGGAGGGGGGATAGAGCAGGAGATGGGATTAGACATGAAGGGTGCAAGTATAAAGCGCCATCAGGGAAGGCCTTCCTGAGAAGGGGACATTTAAGCAGAGACCTGAAGGAAGTGAGGGAGGCGTCGTGCAGGAATCTGGGGGAAGGACACTCATACACCGTGTTACCCTCCCATCAGCAGCACAGGAGGGTCCCAGGTCTGCCCAGACTCACCTGACAGCAAAAGACCGATGGTGCTTTACATTACTGATCATGCCATTCTCTGATGATTGATCAGCAATGCTTTCAAGAAAAAATCTTAATCAAAGATCTTAATTACTGTAAACAGAATGTAAATGGAGCCACTTGAAAGTGGAACCAGAGCTGCCATGCCAGGGGAACTGCCTTGCCGGTCTTATACCTCAGATCTTGGAATGTTAAAACCAGGCAAGCCCTCACCGGTTTGGCTCAGTGGATAGAGCGTCGGCCTGCGGACTCAAGGGTCCCAGGTTCGATTCCGGTCAAGGGCATATCCCCAGTGGGGGCTGTGCAGGAGACAGCTGATTGATGTTTCTAACTCTCTATCCCTCTCCCTTCCTCTCTGTAAAAAATCAATAAAATATATTTTCTTTAAAAAAAAAATAAAACCAGGCAAAATGAACTTTGGGCTGGGCCTAAGCAACCTTGTTTTCCCAAATAACTGTTTGCCAAGGTGACGAGAACACAGATTCTGTGACTACTGGGCTGATGTCTTCTAGGAAACTTCATGGCACCTCTTTTCCTACATAAGACAAAGTATCATCTCTCATCCCCCGAAATTTGTGGTAACTGTACTACATGGCAAACCAGTGAACACTTCTATCCCTCAAGATTCAGGGACTTACAATGAAAAGGGGGCATTTGTAGCTGAGCCCCTTGTGATTTTAATGTCCCTGGTATTTTTGGCAGCTAGAATTCAATAATGAAGTTCTTAATTAGAACATAGGTACAGGCTTTAACTAAATGTTTCAGTTGCTTCGGTTGTCACGTAGCTTATAGTCAAAGATTAAGAGCGCATGTTAGTCCCTAGCTGGTTTGGCTCAGTGGGTAGAGCGTCCATTCTGGTCAAGGGCACGTACCAGGGCCTCGTGCGGGAGGCAACCAATCGATGTCTTTCTCTCACATAGATATTTCTCTATGTCTTTCCCTCTCTCTTCCATTCTCTCAAAAATCAATGGAAAAATATCCTTGTGTGAGGATTAACAAAAAAATAAAATTAAAATAAAAAAAGAAAGCATGTTAGTCATGTTCTGAGAGCTGCCTGCAACAAGGGTTCCAGGAGAAATGTATAAAAGTACACTTTGCCTGAGAAAATAGGAAACTATAACTAGTTAAGCACAAAACAATGATAGCTTAAACCAGTGGTTCTCAACCTTCTGGCCCTTTAAATACAGTTCCTCATGTTGTGACCCAACCATAAAATTATTTTCGTTGCTACTTCATAACTGTAATGTTGCTACTGTTATGAATCGTAATGTAAATATCTGATATGCAGGATGGTCTTAGGCGACCCCTCTGAAAGGGTCGTTCGACCGCCAAAGAGGTCGCGACCCACAGGTTGAGAACCGCTGGACAGTGGCCATAGCCACATGTCTAGTCTCTGCTTTAAAGACAACGTCATGGCGCACAATCCTGAGATATTTTGCAGAATCTCAGTTCTTCAATGTAGCACCCCTTGTTCTCACAGTATAATTTTGTGTTTCTGATGTACTGATTTTTGTCAAGCAGGAGATAACTCCAGGGCCACAGGAGAATTTATAAGTTTGTTTTGCAGAAGGAGTAAATGCCTTTAAGAAAGTTGCAACCAGCTGCTCACGCTTAGGAGTCTGATACACAAAAGCCTTATCAATGACTAGAGAAACAGGTTCTCTCTCAGCTCCCTGGAACTCCCCCCTTGCCTACTCCCCAGCTGCATAAACCAGTGATGGCGAACCTATGACATGCCTGTCAGAGGTGACACACAAACTCATTTTTTTGGTTGATTTTTCTTTGTTAAATGGCATTTAAATATATAAAATAAATATCAAAAATATAAGTCTTTGTTTTACTATGGTTGCAAATATCAAAAAATTTCTATATGTGACACGGCACCAGAGTTAAGTTAGGGTTTTTCAAAATGCTGACACGCCGAGCTCAAAAGGTTCGCCAACACTGGCATAAACACTGCCTACTTTTGCTTTGCGGGGGATGAATTTGAGAGATCTTGCTCTCCTGTCCTCTCACTTTGGCTAAAGAGAATAAACATTTCTCTATTGCCGAGCACCAGTATTTACGTTTTGGCCTCCTGGCACATCAGGTACATGAACCTGAATTTTGGGAAGTGATTTGGTAACAACATGGCAATGTCAGTCTTTCTATTTTTTTACTTAAATAATTTTAAATAAAATTACATTGAGTTAGTTACAGGGGAATGTAGTGCTGTTGGTCTGGCAGCAGGCTCACAAGGTGCATCTCTGCATAAGCACAAATTCCCCAATCAACAATCCCCCAGACTGAACCCATGACAGATTGGGGACCCTATAGAAATGTTGCCCCTTCTATAACCTTGCTTCCTTTACACAGCAGCTCTTTAAAATAGGATTCCACATATAAAGTGCCTGTTGACACTTCTGCAGAAAGACAATCACTCCAAAAGAGAGGGAGCGGGGATTCTCTCCCCGTGGAGTTCTCTCCTGGTGTATCAGTGGTTCTCACTCTCAGCCCTGGCAGCACATCAGAATACTTAAGGAGATTAGAGAGAGAGGGAGATGCATGGAAGCCACAAAACAGAAACGACCAGTGTCCACCAGGAGAGGAATGGATACACAGGTTGCAGACGTCCATGCATTGCAGTAGTAACAAGCTACTGATAGACACTTGGAAGCATTGTGCTGAGTGAAAGAAGCCAGCACTGGGATATGTACAGTATGATGTCATTCAGATGAAACTCTAGAAAAAGCAAAACTAATCTATACAGACAGAAAGCAGATTACTCGGTGTCTAGGTGTGGAGGTGAAGACTGATCGCAGAGGGGCCTGAGGGATGCTTTGTGGTGTGGATTTGTGGCTACATGTAAACATGTGTCATAACGCACTGAAGTGTACACTTAAAATGGGTGCCTTTTGCCTGGCTGGTGTAGCTCAGTGGTTGAGCATTGACCCAGAAACCAAGAGGCTGCTGTTCAATTCCTGGTCAGAGCACACGCCCAAGTTGCGGGCTTGATCCTCTGTGGGGTGTGTGGAGGAGGCGGCCGATTGATGATGTTGCTCTCTCATCAATGTTTTATCTCTCGGTCCCTCTCTCTCTAAAAAATCAATTAAAAAATGTTTTAAAAAAAGAACAATCCATGGGAATATGAGTACTTAATAAAAAACTTAAAAGTGTTAAAATAAATAAATAAATAAAATGGGTGCCTTTTACTGTATATAAATTATACCTCAATAAAATTGATTTTTTTTGAAATATAGATATTCAGGATCTACCAGAGACCAGTTATCAAATTCTCTGGGCAGGCACCTGGCCATCTGTATTACTTGGACATTCTCCAGGTGCTAATTATTTGTAGCCAGGAAGGTGAACTGCTTAGTCTTTCTCATGTTAGCCTTTCTGCTGGGCAACAGCAGCATTGAATGTGCTTTTAAAGATGAGCTTTTAAAGCCATGTGTGGGAGCCCCACATTCTGCGCATGCCACAGAGCTGGTTACCCATCAGCTCCCCCTCCTCTGGCTGCTGCAGCTGAGGCTTCCTCGGCTCAGAGGTTAAGTCCACAGGCTCTGGGGCCTGGTCACCTGGTTCAAATCCCTCGTCCACTGATAGCTCTGTGACCTTGGGCTGGAAATTTTGTCTTTCCGAGCTTCAGTTTCCTCAATTGTAAAATGGGCATGATGATAAGATAGAGGTATCATGAAGATTAAATGATTAAATGAGCTAATGTAAATAATGTGCTTAGAAGACTCTCTACTACACAGCAAGTACTCTGTGAATACTGGGTCTCTCTCTCGCTCTCCTTGATTTTCTTCCCTTGCTCTTACTTTCTTCTTGCCACAGTGTTCTCTTCTCCATATCAGAGGAGAATGTTCTATTTGTGGACTTCTCCCACGTTGAAAATTGAGCTGGGTGCTTCCAGGAAAGTTTTTGTGGCTGACAGTGAGGAAGCAGAAAATAGAGGAGAGAAACACTCGAGGAAAAGGCTCACAGCCCTGCCGTCTGGCTTGGTGATTTAAACTGGCCGTCAGACCCCGCCATCGCGCACCTCCTCTAAGGGGAGAGGGACTGTGTCAGGGGAGAAGGAAGGAACCAGGGGTTCATTTCTTCATTTCGACAGGCTTTGTTTTTCCCTTCGCCTGGAGTCTTCTGGGTGTCGTGCTGGTTTGAAGGTCCTATGAGTTCTACATGGTTAGGAGGGGACTTGGTCCTTCCCATGGTACCTCTGGGTTCCCCCGAATGGTCCGTCCTGTGCTCCATTTACCTCTCTGGGCTGCCAGAGCTCCAGAACTCCACGGGTTAAAGACATTTGGGAAATACAGCCCCAGGAGAACCAGGAGTCCCCCTACCCCAACCTGTCCAGTCAGACCTGAGTCCAACTCGGTGTTCACCTGCCTTCCCTCCTCACCTCCCACAGAGCAACGATGCCTCAGGGAACACTTGGAACTGGTTGTACTTCATCCCCCTCATCATCATCGGCTCCTTTTTTATGCTGAACCTCGTGCTGGGTGTGCTGTCGGGGTAAGTCTTTGCTGCTCCCCCATCCATCTCTCCTTGTCATCTTCTTCCCAGGGAGGGACCATCAAAGCTTTGCTTTCATTCTCTCCAGGCAGGGACCACTCTTCCCTTGCTTTGGGTTAGCCAGACAGTGATTCGCAGGCCGTGTATAGGTGTGTGGGTTGTGCAGAGCTGGGGGAACCCCGTGAAGGGACTCGTGGGGGGCTGAAATCCAGCCCAGACTTGACTCACCACATTGTGTCCCCGGCATTGAGCTACCTCTTCCCAGGGAAAGGGGAGCTTCTTCCAATGCAGACCTCTCATTCAGAAGGTTTGCCCAAATGTTTCAGACCTACAACACAAGAAAATTCTATAGAATTTTACTTTCTATAGTTTACATTAAAAAACAAACAAACAATAGGTTGGGTTTCCCCTTCCTCTGTTTTCCAAATATAAAATTGTAGCCTATACTCAAACATGAATTTTTATGATACATACCAGAGGCCCGGTGTACAGATTCAGCCTGGCCTGGCCTGTGCCATCTCACAATCCGGGACCCCTTGGGGAATGTTGGAGAGCCTGTTTCAGCCCAATCCCCGCAGGCCAGGCCGAGGGACCCCACCAGTGCATGATCGGGGCCGGAGAGGGACCACAGGAGGGACCCCGGGAGGACTCCAGGGCGTGTCTGGCCCGTCTCACCCAGTCCTGATCAGCCGGATCCCCCTGGTGGTCAGTGTGCATCATAACGACTGGTCGAACAGTCGAAAGAAGGATCGGACGCTTAGCATCTTAGGCTTTTATTATATAGGATTGTTCCATATCCCCAGGATTGATTTCTTTGGTTTAATCATAAATGAGTTTCAGTTTTCTTACCAACAAGAAGTCTGGGACTGGTTTGGTGGCTCCTTGGTGCCATCAGGGACCTCAGTTCCTTCTAGATTTCTACTCTGACATCCTTACCGGAGACTTTCAGTTTCATTCACAAGACGGTCATCCTACTTCCAAACAGGAAGAGGAAAGAGGAAACAGGATGGGGTGGGGCCTTACCTGGGAAGTGAGGCTGCTGGTGAAATCATCAGCTCGTTGTCTCATGAACATACTCCAAAGCCAAGAGTATGGAGAAGGAGGGTAGAGTATGCAGCCAGCAGTGGTTGGCGTGGCTGGTTTATGGTTTGCTTTTTCCTCCGGCTCCGTGCAGTTGCTGGGAAGCCGGCAGATACCCATTCCTAGAATATTCCGAGTTTTCTCCCAGGAGACCCAACTCCACTCGTTAAAATCCTCTGCCCTCCAGAAACTTACACTCCCTAAAATTTCTGAAACAGCCAACGCTGGCTCTGTGTGTGTGTGTGTGTGTGTGTGTGTGTGTGTGTGTGTGTGTTTTGTGCTCCTACAGGGAGTTTGCCAAAGAAAGGGAGCGGGTGGAAAACCGGCGGGCTTTTCTGAAGCTGAGGCGGCAGCAACAGATCGAACGAGAGCTCAATGGGTACATGGAGTGGATCTCGAAAGCAGGTGAGGCCCTTTCATCTTGGGGCCCAGGCATCGACATCCCGGGCCACGGAGCACTCAGCCGTGCGTGCAGTTTGGAGATGGATGAGGGAAGGGTTGTGATGGGAGGAGAAAGAGGCTGGACTGGTAGTTCCAATTTTTAGCAATAAGAATCCAGAATAAGATAGTAAAACTTCTGGGATAAAGCCAGGATAGGACTTCGCGTGTGGTAGCGAGCTCTCAAACCAGACTTTGGTTTGCATCCCAGCTCTCCCACCTCCTAGCAATGCACCCTGCTTCCCCAGACCTCCGTTTCGTTGGCTGCTGAACAAAGATGGTGGTAGTACCTACCTCATCGGGCTGTGTGGGGATTCAGTGAGGCCATCCAAGCCAAGCCACCTAGGAAGAGCAGTGCCTGGCACACAGTGAGCACGTGTATTTGCTCAGCCATTCAGAAAACACTTAAGCGGCACCCACTGTGTACCAGGCGCTATCCTAGGCACTAAAGATACCGCAGTGAACAACACAGACCCAATCCCGCCCCCAGGGCTCTTACGTTCTAGTGAAAGAGACAGAAAATAAACCAAGGCAGGCAATGTTGGGTGCTGCCAGATGCTAGGAAGAAAAGTAAAGCAGGGCAGGAGGCAGAAACCGGTCAGAGGAGGCAAGTGATCAGAGAGGGTCTCCCCGAGGAGGTGACATCGGAGCAGAGACCTGAAGGGAATGAAGAAGGAAGCATGTGGCCGTCTAAAGAGGGGTGTTCCAGGCAGAGGGAACAGCAAGTGCAAAAGCCCCGAGTGAGGAGCAGAGTGGAGTCAGAGCAAGGAAGCCAGTGTGGCTGGAGCCAAGTGAAGGGGAGAGTGGGAGGAGAGAGAGACGGGGAGGTGACGGCCTGGATCAGGCAAAGCCTTATGAGCTGTGGGAAGGCTGTTGGGTTTTGTCTGGAGGGAGGTGGGGATAATTGGGCGATGGCTACCTTCGCTGAAGTGAGGCTGGGAGTCAGAAACAACTGAGCAGCAGATTTCTGGCTGATGGCACTGTCGCCATCGGCCAGGGGAAGTGGTCGGGCAGACCCTTCTCCTCTCTGTCCGAGGGGACCCATCCCCGAAGAGTCCTCCGGACACTGGAGCTTAACTGTGTGCTCTTCCTCCTCAGAAGAGGTGATCCTCGCCGAGGATGAAACTGACGGGGAGCAGAGGCATCCCTTTGATGGTAACTCTTGTGACCCTGGCTCGGGGTGGGTCTCAGGGGAGATGGGGGAACAGGCCACGTGGTCCTAGGGGGCCTCCAGGGGATGGATGTTCAGGGTCCGGGTGATGCCAAGAACGAACATGAGATTGGGTCAGGGTCAGGGTCAGGGTCAGGAAGATACAGGGAATGGCAGAGATCTGCTTCCTTGGGGATTTCAGGACCGTGGCAGAGTCTGCACCTTCTGGCCTCCCCTTTCTGCCTTAACCATGTGCCCAGCCTCTTCTGCTTTGTGCCTCCTTTTTTCTCATCTACACAATGGGCATGACCATAATAACACCTGCTGCACTGGGTTGTTGATAAGGGTCACATCGATTCTTCCAAATAGAAGACCTAGAGCAGTGCCCGGCTCAGGGTCAGCACCCTTTGTGTTTGCTAAATTTAAAAAAATTAATAATAATTTCACCAAGAAAAATAAATCCAGCTTACTGTAAGTTAAGGACAGTTGTCTCCTGTGTTAGAAGTTCAGCAGATGGAACAAGTTTTTATTGGAAATACCAGGAGTAAGAAGGAAGCAAAGGAGCTGGGATTCCTTCCCATAAGTTACAAACTGGATTTTACTATTTGGGGGGAAGGGAGGTGATTACCCATGGGGTCGACTAAGTCACTTTATTAGAAATTAATGCCTCAACTCATTGACCCCTGGAGAGCTCTGGGGCCGTGAAGACTAAATACTGAGGGAGGGCAGGGCGTCCACAGCCCCAACCTGCCTAGCAGGTATTATAAAGTCAAGGGGTAGGCTGTCTTCGTAGGAGTCACTGTATATCCCAGAGCCCCCAGAGGGGATACCGTGGCTGAGATCCCAGACTTAGACTGAACAAGACTTGATTTCTCACCTTTACCCTTGAGTACCCGTGCGACCTCCGTGAGTCCCAGTCTGCACATCTGTAAAATGGGCGTCCTGTTACTTCCCCCCGAACTGGATCGCCACGAGGGTGAGCTCCGGTGCCACCTAGAATGTCCCTGGCAGAGTGCCTGGGCCCGAGGAAACACTCGGTGGATGTCGTTGCTGTCGCAAAAAGGGTCACGTCTTTTTCTCTTGCCATGTTTCCATTGTTGGAGCTCTGCGGAGAGCCACCATAAAGAAGAGCAAGACAGACCTGCTCAACCCCGAGGAGGCAGAGGATCAGCTCGCGGACATCGCCTCTGTGGGTGAGTCCCTCCTGTTTATCGCTGATCGCCCGGGAGGTGGGAGCTGAAGGCTTGGGCACCAGGTTGCTCGGGTTTGGGTCCGATTCTGCCCCTTCGTACCTGTGCGTCCTGGGCAGATATGATGATGGGAGTAACAGCAGTGCCTGCCTTCTAATATTGTTGGGAGGATTAGACTAAATGATCCACAGTAAGCATTTGGAACAGCACCGGGCAAAAAAATAAGCTCCCAGTAATGTTGCCTGACATTATTCATTCATTTTCATGATAATATTATTATTCATTCATTATTCGTTATGATAATATTATTCATTAGTACTCATTAAGTGGCTGCTCTTATTAGGTGCCCAGTTGTGAACAAGACAGAGACCACACCCCTCCCACGTGGAGCTTGCCATTTAGTGCAAGAAATAGATATTAAACAGATCATTATACAAATAAGCCTGTCATGGTAATAGCACTGCAGAGATGCCCTGGGCTTGGCCTGCCGTGGGAGAGTAGGTGTGATCAGGGGAGCCTTCTTGGAGGAGGTGACATTGAATTGAGAACTGAAGACTGGATAGGGGTTCACCATGGCAGTGAAAGCAGAGAGAAGCATGTAGAAGGCTGCGCTTAGACCGTTGTCGTTGGTTATCTCAAAGGGCAGAGTTGGGAGTGGGAGGGGACACCTACCCTTTTCCTGCTCACCCCTCTTGATCGAGACTCTGTTGCTTTTGACCTTCGCCAGGGAGAATATCTTAGTTTTTGAAAGGGGTTTTTAAAATTCCAAGGATGAACGAGATGGGGGAGAGCATTGAGGCAGCGGAGCTAACACAAGATGCAAAAGGAAGAAAGCATCGAGGCTGATGAGGGAACTGTGTGGCTGGAACAGAGGAAGAAAGGATGGGAGAAGGAGGGAGTGAAGAAGGAAAGGAGAGAACTTAATATACCCACGTTTCTAATCCACTGGCACCGACTATTTTATGCTTTTTTCACTCAGCCCTGGTTTATCCCCGTACTGTTGAGTTTTGACGGAATTTCCACTGCGGCCTCATACTCCATGAGGGTGGTTGCACCAGAGTTGCTGAGCCATGGCTCTATTGTATGGTATTTGAGCTGTTTCCAATGTTTGCCCTTACGAGGAGCACTGCTGTGAACATTTATGTACAATTACTCCCCCCACCCTTTGGGCGTGTTTCCTTGGGGATAATTATAGGATCAAAGATATTAACAGCCTTTCAACTCATTATTCACAGAGCGCTTCTGAGTTTCAAATACACACTGAACCCATTTATAAACCTGCCGAGCACCCCATTCACGGATTCCCCACCCCAGCCGTTGCGTATTCCCCATTTCATTTCCTTCCCCGGTGAAGTCAGTTTATAATGATACCTTCAAGCTTGTTTTCATTTGCATTTGTAATCTCTCGCCACAACACCCTTCCCCTTAATGATGAACTAGTTCTCTTCACTTGTGGATACATCTGTCTCTCCTTCCAGCAAGTTCCAGGACTAGAGCTTCATCAATGCTCATTGCAATTGATTGGTTATGTCTGTCCTCTGTGTTTTCCCAATTAGGTTGCCTCCATTTTTTTTTAATCTGATTTTTTTTAAAAAAAAATAGGTAATCTTTTTTGTTCATACCACATTTATTAAATGCCAAGTACTGGGGGGAAAAAAAGGAGTCCCCAAGTCAGGATCTCCTCTATGAACCAGATTAGCTACCTGGGCTTAAGTAACAGGGAGATGTTATTTTTCATCAGTCATTTGAAAAAAGATGAAAAATGGTACTACCTGATGTCAGCAAGGATGTGAGGAGGTGGACATTGTCTTATGCCATTGGCAGGAGTATAATTTGCAGTATACGGTTTGGCATTATTTAAATAATTTGGAATTATTTAATTCTAGATGTTTATGTTCTTTGACCTAGCATTTCCACTTCAAAGCATATCTTCATGTATGCAAAAGATCTATGTACAGGCCTGGCTGGTGTGGCTCAGTGGTTGAGCATCGACCTATGAACCAGGAGGTCACGGTTCAATTCCCAGTCAGGTCATATGCCCATGTCGTGCAGGGGGTGTGCGGGAGGCAGCCGATCAATGATTCTCTCTCATCATTGATGTTTCCATCTCTCTCTCCCTCTCCCTTCCTCTCTGGAATCAATAAAAATATGTTTAAAAATTAAAAATGTTTAAAAAATATCTATGCACAGTTTCTTCTCAGCAAAATTGTTTCTGGTGTTCAAAAAGTAAAAACCAGAAGCAGCACATGAGCCCAAAAAATGGGAAGATAGTTAATGATATAATGTTTACATGCAGTGGAATACAATACAGCCAAGAAAAAGAATTCGGTTGCTACTGGCATGGAAAGATTTTGAAATATATTTATCAGTGTAAAAAGCAGTTTACAGAACATTATGTAAAATGTATGTTCCCATTTTACAGACAATAGTAAGGAGTGTATTCATGTAAGAAACGTCCAAAGTCGTAGAGAATTTTTATGAGTTTAGCTGAGACAAATTGATGACATTGCCAGGAAGCAAGACCTCCAATGCTCTGAAGAATGGCAGTTTACAACTTCTTTTATATATTTGAGATTAAGGAGGGAAAGTAAGGAAGATTACATGAAGGTGAGAGAAAGCAAGGCGGGGCCCAGCCAATGAACTCAGTGTTTGAGTGTCGACCCATGAACCAGGAGATCACGGTTGGATTCCCAGTCAGGGCACCTGCCCAGGTCATGGGCTCGATCCCCAATGTGGGGCATGCAGGAGGCAACCGATCAGTGGTTCTCTCTTATCATTGATGTTTCTCTCTCTCTCTCTCCCTCTCCCTTCCTCTCTCTGAAATCAATTTTAAGAAAACTTAAAAAAAAAATTTTTTTTTAAAAAGAGAAGAAAGCAAGGCAGGCATTCGGATTACAGGATAGTTAACAAGATCATGTGGTCCTTTGGGGGTGGTTGTGCCTCTGAGGGGTCTGAGAAAGATGTATTTCAAAGGTCTGTTCACCTAGAGCAGCGGTTCTCAACCTGTGGGTCGTGACCCCTTTGGGGGTCAAACGACCCTTTCACAGGGGTTGCCTAAGACCATCGGAAAACACATATATAATTACATATTGTTTTTGTGATTAATCACTATGCTTTAATTATGTTCAATTTGTAACAATGAAATTGGGGGTCACCACAACATGAGGAACTGTATTAAAGGGTCGCGGCATTAGGAAGGTTGAGAACCACTGACCTAGAGGCACAGGAACAAGGGGCGGGGCTTGCTTAAGGCAGATGAACCTTTACCCAAAGCTAAGGCCTGGGGTATGATCTCTCCAGGTAGGAGTTTATGGTCGGACCACCCTGTGAGGTGGCTTTTGGTTAGAATTACTTCAGCACCCTTTCTCATCCACAAGAGGAAGGTGTTAAAATTGGAGGACAAGGCGGGATTTTCATCATTTTGTGATATTTTTCTGGAATGTACGCATTAGTGACATGCATTGCTTTTGAAATCAGAAGAGTAATTAGGTAAGCTTCAAGTTACGTAAAAGCGATGAAGACTAATCAGAAGGGATCTCATGGCTAAACAGGACAGGGAGGAATCTGGTGGAAAAGCAAAGAAAGTTTCATGAAGGAGGCATTTCCAAACTGGGCTTTATGTGGAACGGGAGAGTTCATTCGTTCTCTAGGGCCACCATCATAAACTAGCACGGGCTGGGCGGTTTAAACAGCAGATACTTACTGTCTCACAGTGTTGGTGGCTGGAGGATTGAGACGAAGGCATCAGCAGGATTGGTTTCTTCTGAGGCCGCTCTCCTGGGCTTGAAGACGGTCCTTTTCTCCCTGCGTCTTCGCCTCATCTTCCCTGTGTGTGTGTGTGTCCTAATCTCTTCTTATAGGAGCACCAGTCATACTGGATTAGGGCCCAGCCTAATGCCTTCATTTTAATATAATTACCTCTTTAACGGCCTTGTCTCCAAGTACAGTCCCATGGTGAGGTCCTGGGGGTTAGGACTTCCACATGTGGATTCGGTGGGACACAGTTCAGCTCGTAGAAGGGGGCGATGCAGGAAACCATGGGAGATACTCACAGAGGGCTTGTCTGGGGGGACCCTGCTCTTGAGTGTGTGGCTGACGTAAGAAAACTCGCTGCTTGGAGAACCCAGAGTTCAGGCTGGCATTTGCTTAACGTGCGGTAAAGGGACGGCGAGACACTGAAGTAGGAGCTGTCAGACTGAATGAGACCTGACGGTGTCCTACGGCACCTATTAAGAAAGCAGGTGACGTTCAGCTTTCTAAACAGATTCAAAACACAGACCAGTGACTTGGTCTCCTGGGACCAAGCTTTCGACCAACAAACCCACCAAAATCCAGTTTCTCTGCCTGGTAGCTCACAACCATTCTAGCCAGTGGTCTCCTACACCACCCGGAAAGAGACCTCGAGAATTCCGGGCTTCTGACAAAGAGATCTCTTCACCTTTATTTATTTCTGTAAAAAATAAAATAATAATAATAATAGCGGTTCTAATGAAATGTCCGATGCCCTGGCTGGTTTGGCTCAGTGGTTGGAGCGTTGGCCTGCAGATGGAAGGGTCACAGGTTCAATTCCCAGACAAGGGCACGTACCTCAGTTGTGGGTTTGACCCCCAGCCCTGCTCAAGGTATGTGCAGGAGGCAGCCAGTAGATGTCTCTCTCTCTCTCTCTCCCCTCCCCCCAGGCCTCATTTATAGTTGATGAACTTGTAGAACTTCAGTCATCTGTAGGAAAAGTTGAACCATGAAGGGAAGCTGCCATCACAACACCATCTCTTTAGAAAAAGCCAACTTCAATGATATAAGTTCCCCGTGGGCTGAATTCGTTTCGTGGGGCTGCCAGCACAAAGCACCATAAACCGGGCAGCTTAGAACAACAGAAATTTATTCTCCCAGGTTCTGGAGGCCGGAGTTCAAACTGAAACCCAGGTGTTGTTGGGGCTGTGCTGGCTCTGAAGGCTCCCGGGGGGAATCTGGCCCATGCTTTTCTCTTAGCTTCTCGGGTTGTCAGCACTTCTTGGCAACCTTTGGTTTGTCCGTGCAGCACTCCCGTCTCGGCCTCTCTTGCCACGTGGTCTCCTCCTGTGTCTCTTCTCCTCTTATAAGGACACTGGTGCCGTCTCGGCCTCTCTTGCCACGTGGTCTCCTCCTGTGAGTCCCTGTGTCTCTTCTCCTCTTATAAGGACACTGGTCCTTGGCTTTAGGGCCCACTCTAATCGAGTCTGACCTCACCTTAACATGACAGCATCTGCAAAACCCTACTGCCAACCAGATAAGGTCACCTTCACAGGTGCCAGGGGTTAGGGCTTCAGCACCTCTCGTTGAGGGATGGTTCAGCCCATGACTTGGGCAGCACTGTTTCAACTTACAGAATTTTCAGGGCATCGAAATGGCCAAAAATCCCCAGATCACGCCTTGATGGTGACATGCTGCTGTCCTCGCCACGGAACTTTCCAGGCTGGTACTGGCCTCCCTGGCTCTTGACTTGTCTGAACGGAGATGTGTTTCATAATAACATACCAGATGTTGGAAAACTTAACACCCGAAAGAAAGAGTGTAAAGTCTCTCTTGAATATATTTCTATATTGATTCCATATAGAAATGATATTTTGGAAATATTTGGTTTCATAAAATAACTTATTAAAATTATTTTTTAAACCTAAGGCTTGCCTACAATTATAATTCCAGACCACAGAGAAAAAGTAGAGACAAGTATGTATAGAAAAACAGAGCGTGGGTCAAAGTGAGTATGAAATGGAATAAATATGGGTGACAGAACGCAGCTAGTAGGGGGCCTGGCACGTAGTAGGTGTTCAGTTAATATTCACTTCCCTCTCCCTTCCTGATGACTGCCATGCCTGTTGTGGGAGATGTCTGCAGGCCTGGGCATCAGGAAAGACTTCCTCAATGAATTGGCATGTGGGCTGTCTTGGTTTCAGCTCTTGCAGGTCAAGAGGAGATTTTAGGCCTAATAATCATTATGTGCCAGCATCACACTAAGGTGTATGAACCCATTGATTACACCAGTGGCCCTGTGAGATGGGAAGTGAGGCTGTGCCCAGTTTACAGATGGAGGCACTAGAGTCCCAAGATGTAGGGTGACTTGACTTGCCCAAGGTCGCTCACCTTGGTGATGGAGCCAGGTTTTCAGTGTGGCTCCAACAGGAGTGGAAGTCAGAAGGCTCCTGCCCACTGTGAGAGAGCGCTCTCTCTCGCTCTCCCCCCGACACACACACACACAAACACACACATGAATATCTCTCCCTGACCCCTGAGACTTTCAAGAACCTCATTTCCCTTTGCCATGCCTTGTGGATGCCTGTGAGTCTGAGCCCGTCTTTGGGAGCAGCAGGGACCAGAAATACCCCACTGGGCAGGGCCATGTGGAGCTTCCCTGGGCTCTCAAGTCCTGTGGAGTGAGGCAAGTGAGGGGCCCGAGGGGAGAGCAGCCCGGGGTCTGGCCAGCGGCTGCCCCCCCGACACACACACACACACAAACACACACATGAATATCTCTCCCTGACCCCTGAGACTTTCAAGAACCTCATTTCCCTTTGCCATGCCTTGTGGATGCCTGTGAGTCTGAGCCCATCTTTGGGAGCAGCAGGAATCAGAAATACCCCAACTGGGCAGGGCCATGTGGAGCTTCCCCGGGCTCTCAAGTCCTGTGGAGTGAGGCAGGTGAGGGGCCCGAGGGGAGAGCAGCCCGGGGTCTGGCCAGCGGCTGCCAGGTGGGAAGGCGGCCCCACCCAGTGGTCATATGTTCTAGGAGTGAGTGCAGTGTGGTGGCCGAGAACACGGGCTCTGAGCCAACTCAGTACTTCTTAACAGTCAGCAGACCCCTCTCGGCCTCCGTTTCCTTGGCTGTAAAGTGGGGTAATGGTTCACTTTTTGATTTGACATACAAGTAATTTGAGTTAGGAGCTCCGTCACGGAACCAATCAAACTTGTAAGTCAAGGCCCCACTGTACTTCTTAACAGTCAGCAGAACCCTCTCGGCCTCCGTTTCCTTGGCTGTAAAGTGGGTTAATTATAGTCCCTACTTCCTGTGGTTGCAATGAGGAGCGAGCAGGCTCATGTAAAATGTGTCCCGCCTGCCTGGTGCCTCCTGAATGTACAATAAAGGTCAGCTATCATCTCCTTTCGTGAGAAGCTGATTTTTTAAATGTGGACCAATAATTTCAACTTTCACAAACTCAGGATAGACCAGTATGGCCCCGGGGGTGCCAACTCGCAACCTCTGTTTAGAATTTTCCAATAGGAGGCGGCACCCTACAAGATGTTAGCTGTGTCCATGCCTGTCTGATGGGATGGGGTTGATGAACACGCTGGGTGGATGGACAGGTGAATGGACAAAGGAAGGAATGCATGGATGAACAAATAATAATGGGTAGCTAGATGAGTGAATAAATGAGGGAATGAATGAATGCACAAATGAACAGATGGGTGAATGAATGAGCAGAGGTGCCCACTAATGAATGAATAAATAAATGCACTGATAAATGAACTAAGGAATGAATAAATGAACAAATAAGTGCACTAATGAATGAAAAAAATGAATAAATGAAAGAATGAATAAACCAATGAAGCACAAATAAACAAATGAATGCAAATTGAAGGTTTTCAAGAAGAGGCATTTTAGAAGAAAAAACCAACATCCAAAACTGAGCTCCACCCAACCCCCTGACAAACCTGCCTCTCTCAGTGGATGGTAGCTCTTCCTCTAGGTGCTCAAGCCAAAAACCTGGCTCCTCCCTCTCTCTCACACCCACACTGATCCACAATCCATTGAGATCTACCTTAAATAATATATCACAAATCTACCTGCTCTTCATTCTTCTCAGTCATGACAGAGTCCAACCCCCATCATCATTTGCTTGGACTAGTGCAGTAGCCTCCTCCCTGGTCCTATCCATGCTCTCCACAGTCTGTTCCTCCCACAACAGCCAGAGGGCGCCTGTGAGCACCTGTGTCAGGGCACTTCCCTCCTCTGCTCAGAACCCTCCATGGCTCTCACCTCAGAGCAAAAGCCAAAGTCCTCCCTCAGCACACAAGGCCCTTCACAACCTGCCTTGTTATCTACCTGCCCTCGCCTCCTCCTTCTTTCCTCCACTCCAGCCATTCTGACCTCCTTATGCTGTTCCCTAAATATGACAGGCATGTACATTCCTGCCTCAGGACCTTTGCACATGCTGTTAACTCAGCCTAAGATACTAAAGTGATATAGGTCAATACTTTCACCTGGACCACTTGATTTAATACTGCAGCCTGCCCTGTGGGCCCTTCTGGGGCTCCCAATCCCCTTATTCTACTCTACTATTTACTTTTCCAAAAAGACTTTTCACCTTCCATTACACTATTAACTATTTTATTATGTTATCTTCGCTGTATATCTCCCCACTGGAGCGTCAGTCCCAGGAAGGTAAGGCTCTGTCTGTTAACTAGAGTATTCAGAGCGCCTGGAACAGAGTCTGGCACACAGTAGGCGCTTCGTAAATGCTTAAGAGCAAAGCCATGTGCAGGCAGAGGCACAGCTGGTTCATTACTCAGTGATCATTTCTAAAATGAAATGTCCATGGAAAACCAGGGTCCTATTCACGCCTCCTCCTGGAGGCTTTCCAAGCATGCCCCCTGTGGCTCTGCTTTCTACCCCTGCACTGGCGGATCCTGAGCCGCGGCTCCTGCTCATCCTGCCCCATGGCACAACGCCCAGAGTCATCAGACCTCACCAAGATGGAGAGACACCGAGGGTTAGCTCTGGCAGCGAGAGCCGTCAGCCTCCTCATTGATACCCTGAGTCCTCATTGGTTATTTCCAATACCATGACTTTCAGGGACATCTCCTCGTCAGCTCCATCTCTGGAAAGCTCGGCCCTTGGGTCATGACGTGCAAGGCCAGAGTGCTTGCTGGGGAGGCTAATGGATCCCCTGGCCACAATCCGTGCCTGAGTCACACAGTTGCTTTCCTCCACAGGAACGCCCTGACATTCTCCATCCTTTCCCTGGCAGGGTCTCCCTTTGCCCGAGCCAGCATTAAAAGTGCCAAGCTGGAGAACTCGACTTTTTTTCACAAAAAGGAGAGGAGGGTGCGTTTCTACATCCGCCGCATGGTCAAAACTCAGGCCTTCTACTGGACTGTGCTCAGTCTGGTAGCCCTCAACACGCTGTGTGTTGCTATCGTTCACTACAACCAGCCCGAGTGGCTCTCCGACTTCCTCTGTGAGTACCGCCTGGCCCTGCCCCTGCCCGCGCCCTGACCCCTGCCTCACACCTTTTCTTTCCAGTTCTCTTTCTCTAGCACTGTGTGTTCCCTCTTTGGTCCTTGGTGAATCTGCCTTTTCATTTGGCCACATCTACAACTGGGATTGACGCTGATGCTGCTGCTGCCGCAATGACAGGCCCCAACTTCTTTGGGCCTGAGAGCTGGAAGCTCGAATTCAGGCCACCACCCCTTTCTAAGAGAGAGACATGGGAGTGCTAGTGCAGAAGGTATTAGAAGGGAGACAGAGAGGCAGAGACTGCAAGAAAGGCAGCTAGAGATAGAAACACACATGCCTCTCTGGGAATGTTAAAATAAATAATTTGTGGTTGAGAGATGGGGGTGCCTTAGGGCCAAAAAGTGGTCCTGTTTTATCTGCTTATATATGACTTCTGCTTCTCCCCTCTTCTACCACACCTTCTGCTTCTTTCCCCTTTCCTCTCCTGCTCTGTTTGACTTCCTTGTATTTGGGATTCATCCCTCGAAGATCCCCTCCAGCAAATGTAAGAGCATCTTGCTCCCTCAGTGGGTACCAGGACCCCCAAGGCTTTGCCCTTCTGGGCTTATTCCCATATTCTAGGAATTAGCAGAAATAATAACAAAGTTGATGGCCAGGTAGCGTTGAGGAGAAGCAGTGAAAGGTAGACCTCTGACCAAGATTTTAAAAGTAAAGAGCCCGGCCAGTGTGGCTCAGTGGTTGAGCATCAACCTATGAACCAAGAGGTCATGGTTTGATTCCCGGTCAGGGCACATGCCCAGGTTGTGCTCAATCCCATGTAGGGGATGTGCAGGAGGCAGCTGATCAATGATTCTCTCCCATCATTGATGTTTCTATCTCTCCCTCTCCCTTCGTCAATAAAAAAAAAATTAAAATAAAGAGCTTTGAGGAATCAACAAGAGCAGTGGCTGGGCAGTGAGGAAGGCAAGTGGATGCCCTGGATCTGGCTGTGGCCCCTGAGTGAGGACTTAACCAAAATCATGTTGCCTTCTGACTGTCCTCCTCCTGCATTTACTGGCTTGTCTGACTTAGGTCTGTGGATTCTCTGCCCTTCTGACATTGTTCAGAATTGACCCAGACAGCCACTGGAGACAGTCGGATCTTCAGCCTAGCGAGGCCTGGGAGCCTGGTCCAGGTCACTGTCTCCTTGTAACCCTCATTGTTTCCAGTCACATTGGCTGACCCTCCCAGGACACCCCCCAGGGGCCAGGTCTCCTTCCAAGAGCCCTGACCTAGTTCCAACCTTAGTAATTGCATTTGGTCCCCCTGGAGTCGCTTACAAATGAGGACTCTCTACTTCTAGTCTTAACCTCCTCTGATAGTCTATTTTTAATCTCCCAAATTCTCCCCACTAATCACCCTGCTCTGCCTGTCCTGGTTCAGGAAGAGCAGGTTCTGCCCTGGGCCTCTGTGTCTGTCAAGGTCCTTTAATTATCCCCAGTTGCGAAAAGTGAGACACAGAGAAGTTAAGTAATTTTCTTAGGGTCACACAGCTAGTTCATGATGAAGTCGAGATTTGAACCCAGACTCCAAGCTGTGTCTGATAACAGATCCCTGTCCTGGCCACCAGGTGACCTTGGTCCTCAATGCCTGCCCCTACTTTGCCCTGTGACCTGAACGAGGCATTAACAAAGCCATTAATTGCAGGCGTCTTCCATTAGAAGGCACTCTCAGTTTATGTGCCACTAAAAAAGAAAACAAAACTGCTGTTTAAATTAGGCCATGCCGATTTTCATATACACTCCAATTCCAGAAATGTCAGAATGTGACCAAAAAATGTATGTCTTAGAATCAGTGAAGTATAGGAGTTTCTCTGAGTCTCAAATTCCTCGTCTGTACTTGGTGGAAGAGGTTTCTTCCAGACCCGTCAATGCCATGGACAATTCTCTCAGGTTCTGTGCATCACTGGCTGTCCTGTTTCCATGGTAACTGGGGAACAAGCTTCTTGGAAACTCTGGTGGTTCTTGGAATGCACCAGATGTTATAGACAGATTTCCCTCCCTGACATTTCGGGCCTGGAGACCCTAAAATCCCCCTCCGACACTGGGAGCTCTCTGGAGTCCTGGAAACGAAGGGAATGTTTTGATAGAAATGAGTGGGCAGGACCTTGACAGTCAGTTCAGGCCATCTCTTCAACGAATAATATAACAAGCATCCTTCACCTTCAAACAGCATTAGCTTTGTGACCCAAATTGAAATTCTTGGAAGTGTGAGTCCTCTATCTTCCCTTTCTGTATGCTTTCTTCCCCTCAAAAGTCTTCCTTACCTCTCTCTTCCATCCATTAGTGAGTACCTGTGCCCTCCCTCACTAACAAGCCCTCTCAGAAAAAGACCTCATGTTAGACAATTCTTTGCAAAAAAATACCCACGTGTTGTCTCTCCCAGAGGCATTTGCACTGTTATGCTTTCTCATGCAAGAACAAAAGGCTTTCAACAAAATTCTTGCTCAAGGCTTTTAGACATCAGCAAGACCGGACTTCCAGGGGGCATCAGAGAGGTTTTCCAAGTTGGAAGAAAAACTGTGCCTTAGATTGGTTCCCTGTGATGCTCCAACTCAATCTCTAACACAAGGGACTTACAAATAGGACACCGTTATGATTTCTGTTTCTATTTTTCCTTTGGAGCTCAGGCATATAAAAGTGGGTTCATCAGCCCTGGGTGGTGTTCTCAGTGGTTAGAGCATCGGTCCGAGCACCAAAGGGCACTGGCTTGATTCTCACTGGGTTGAACGTTCCATCCTTGGCCCTGGTTGGGGCATGTGTGGGAGGCAACCGATGGGTGTGTCTCTCTCACATCGATGTTTCTCTCTTTCTCTCTCTCCCTTCCCCCTCCGTCCTGCCCTCCCTTACACTCTCTCTAAAAATCAATGGAAAAAAATACCCTCCCATGAGCATTAACAAAGGGGAAAAAAGTGGATTAATCCTAATTTTTAGATTAGGACACACTGACATCATAGGGCCGGCCATTGTTATTTCGTTAGATAGCCAGTTAGTTAGTTCATTCATTGATTTGTCCGTTAGTTTTTAAAATGTAGTAAGCTCCCAGGAACCCACCACTCAACACAAAACCTAAGGTCTTGGCAATAATCTACATCCAGCCCTTCTCATCGAACCAAAGTAACAATTGAAAGATGATGACCCCTTGAAGTTTATCTTGCTCCTCTTAAGATTGGCCTGGGGTTGGTTGGGGGCGGGGAATAATTGTCACTCCTCCCCATTAACAGAGGGGAAACTGAGTTTCGTGGAAAGGAAGCCTCGAATAACCTTTAGCCAAGGCCACTAAAGACCATCCTCTCTCTCCCTTTCTGCCAGGCCAGGCAAGGGACAGGATTGGGATTAACAGGAAAGTCAGACTTGGTAACCCCCGCAACAGCACTAACCTTCTCTCTGTTTCCCCCTCGCCCTTGTAGACTATGCAGAATTCATTTTCTTAGGACTCTTTATGTCCGAAATGTTTATAAAAATGTACGGGCTTGGAACACGGCCTTATTTCCACTCTTCCTTCAACTGCTTTGACTGTGGGGTAAGTGCCCTGGTTTCCATGGAGTTTATTTCTGCGACTCTTACCCAGCATGATGCTGATAGTTGGGGACACCAGAAAGGGGGAGCAGGGTCCCCCTGGGTAGGAGAGGCTCAGCTGAACGCAATAGGAATGCGAGGACCAGCTCAAACATTGGGTGCAGGCACCCAGCGCTGTCAGCCACTGCCTGTGGGAGAGCCAATATGTGGACCCTCTTTGGAAAGTGGGGGTGACCTGGCCAGGGCTAGGGATTCACCCTCGAGAAACTCGTGCCCGGGAGACACATACAAGAATGATCTGAGCGGCCTTGCTTACAGTAGTCCCGAACCAAATGACCCAAATATCTCTTTGCGGTAGAATAGATAGGTGGCGGCGTAGCCATGTAATGGAATTCTCTGCAGCAATGAAAGGCCGCCCACCACATCTGCACCCATCGGCTTTACGATACTGCACAAAAGGAGGCAGACAGTGACAAACGCAGACCATACCGCGTGTGCCGTTCTGCTCATCAAAGTTCAGGTGGACAAAACTAAGCTGTATTGGTTAACGGTGATACTCGAATACTTTAAAAAGGCAAGACCTCAGACACATTACGATGAGCGGAATAACGATAAGCTGGACACAGAAGATCACGTGTGGCATCATGCCATCTACATGAAATGTGCAGAAGCGGCAAATCCACAGACAGGAAGCAGATCAGTGGCTGCCAGGGGCTGGGGGAGGGGATGGAGAGTGACTGCACGTAGGGACATGGTCTGCTTTGAGGGTGACAGAAATATTCTGGAACTAGATAGAGATGATGATCATACAACATTGCAAATGAATGTTACCACTGAATTGTGCCCTTAAAATGGTTAATTTTATGTGCTGTGAATTTCACCTCAACCTTTTTTAAATCTAGGAAATAGTTGCTACAGAATTCAGGACAGTGGTTAAGTCTGAGGGGTCCCCAGGGTGCTGACATGTCCTGTTTCTTACACGGGCGGTAGCTACACAGGCACTCACTCTGTAATTACTTGTTTCTGGAATTCTGTGCTCTCACCAGCTCTTAATAAATAAAAACAGAGAAGGGACGAGAGGGGTCTGAGCGCCGCACCCTGCTGGCGTTTGAGGGTGGGAGTTGGGGTGGGTTCCTGCAAGGTTCGGGCCCAGGCTGTGTTTGCAAGGACGCTGGGCACCAGAGCCGATCCTGTGTCCTAGGTTATCATCGGGAGCATCTTTGAGGTCATCTGGGCCGTCATAAAACCTGGTACATCCTTTGGAATCAGCGTGTTACGAGCCCTCAGGTTATTGCGTATTTTCAAAGTCACAAAGTAAGTCTTTGTGGGAGGGATGGGCATTGGGGCCAGGAGGGATGGGGCACCTCCAGCATGTTGGGAAGGTGGGCTCAGCGGCCGCCACCCAGGCCCAGCCTAACGCCCACCCCCACCCCCGGCCTCTGTTGGCAGGTACTGGGCGTCTCTCAGGAATCTGGTCGTCTCTCTTCTCAACTCCATGAAATCCATCATCAGCCTGTTGTTCCTCCTTTTCCTGTTTATCGTCGTCTTTGCACTTTTAGGAATGCAGCTCTTTGGCGGCCAGTAAGTGCTCGGCAACTTCTCCGACTTCTGCTTCTCTGGGGTCTGACCCAGGGACCCCTTCAGCCCCCACACGCCAAACTCAGTGCCTCCAGAGACCGTCCTCATGCCGACTGCCCATCTCGTGGCCCGGACGCCCTGTGCACGCACCCAGACAGGCAGGGCCCTGGGTACCACTCAGATGTCCTTCTGGGGGACGGAGACGTGAAGATGTTGCCCTGGAAACAAGATGCTAAACTACGCCCTCACGACACCTGGGGCAGGGCCAACGGGAAATGTCTGCGTTTCCCCCACAGGTTTAATTTCGATGAAGGGACTCCTCCTACCAACTTCGACACTTTTCCAGCAGCAATAATGACGGTGTTTCAGGTACAACCCTAACCCAGCCCCGCGCCATGCAGGGCCACAGGAAAGCACCAGAATCCAGAGCAGAGGGAGGAGGACCGTGGGCAGGAGCCTTTATTGGGGTTTCCCCAGGAAGGAGTCGGGGAGGATGAGCCGGTTGAGGATTGGCTCGTTTGAATAATTTCGGCAGGCTCTGGGGCGTAGAGGCTGACCAGTGGTCTGGTACCTGGCCCTGGAGTGATTCGGGCAGAGAATGCTGGCCTGGGGGGTGAGAGCCTGATGGGGGAGGTGGTGGAAGTGTGGGCCCTGGTTTGTATTTGAAAAGTATGTTTGGGGGCCAGTTGTTCACTATCCCTAGGATTTAGCCAGCCTGACTCCCTCCAGGGTCAGCAAGGCCCAGATGTCAAAGCATCAGAATACAGAAAAGACACACCCACCCTCTCCCAGAACTGCAAGACACCCCTCCCCTATTCCAGAGCAAAGACATTGACCCTGGGTGGTCTCCCCAAACCGGCGTCTGTACCCCTGTGGGCACATGATCTGAGGATTGGGACGGGCCCCGCTGGGACCGCCGGAGCCTTTCCAGTGGGTTCTGTCTCTTTGGAGGGCAGACAGTTATGGAAAGTGGGACTTCGCTCCCCGCTTCTGGGAGAGTGGTTTCTAAATAAGACCCCAAGGTGGGGGTTGGAAAGAGGACCCCATGTAGCAGAGTTCTGACCCCTCACATTAATGATTCAATCGTAGTCACCACCACCCACAGGTCCTCAGCACAGGGTCCTGGCCCAGGAGCAGCTCTGGCCCCCATGCCACTTGGAAGTGTCTGGAAACAGTTTGGGTTGTAACCCCGAATGGGGGAGTGGGTGTTACTGGCACCTGGTGGGAGGAGGCCAGGGCTGCTGCTCAACACCCACAGCACAGGGTGCCCCACCCCCGAGAATGACCCGGTCCCAAAGGGCAGCAGTGCCGAGGCCGAGAAACCCTGCGTGGTGAGCAGGTTAGCGTGTCTGGAGTTCTTTCTCATTTACTTGATCCTCATGGAAATATCATGAAGGAGGCAAGTGGCATTGTTTTAACAAGTACGTGGACACCACCTACCTATCCTCTCAGTCACTCCATAAGCATCAGCCCAGTTTCTGGTCACCCGCACCTGCTGGCAAAGCCTGCTCTGGCCACCAGCACCCGCCTGCCCAGGCACAGCAGCCAGAGAACCAGTGAAGATGTTACTTAACAGAAACTTATTTCTCACACTTCTGGAGGCTAAAAGTCATGGTCAGGGTGTCCACAGGGGTGGTTCCCGGTGAGGACTCTTTTCCTGGCCAGCAGGCGGGTCTTCTCGATGTGTCCTCACATGTGGGGAGAGAGCGAGCGAGACAGAGAGAATGCCCAAGCTCTGCGGTGTCTCTTCTTACAAAGACACTAATCTCATCATGAGGGCCCCACCCTCATGGCCTCATTAACCTGAATGACCTACCTTTTCCAAATATCATCTCATGAAGGCCTAGAGCTTCAACGTAATAATTTAGGGGACACAGCTCAGTCCCTATCAAACCCCCTTATTACCTCAGGGAAGACAGAGTTATGAAGGTTGGTGACTTCCCCAGGGTCCCCTCCTCCTAGAAGCTGGGCTGGGAGCCCTTCACTGCAGGGACAGGCAGGTTGGGGCCCCACAGCTGCGTCTCCGAGGGGCCCGTGGCTGAGAGGGGGGTTGGCTGTGTGTTCCTCCCTCCCTTTCAGATCCTGACAGGCGAGGACTGGAACGAGGTCATGTACGATGGCATCAAATCTCAGGGCGGCGTGCAAGGCGGCATGGTGTTCTCCATCTACTTCATCGTGCTGACACTCTTCGGGAACTGTATCCTCCGCGGTGGCGCGTGGGGACACGCCTGGATGGGGGCGCGAGGGAGGGGACCCGGAGACCCCGACGCCCAGGGTCCCAGCGGCGTTGCTTTCCCTGACTCTGGCGTCCGCAGACACCCTCCTGAATGTGTTCTTGGCCATCGCGGTGGATAATTTGGCCAACGCCCAGGAGCTCACCAAGGTGCCGTTGGTGGGAGGATGTTTCTCTGGCAAAGTTACCACCCGTTCGTGACAGATCGGGACCGTGCTGGGCATGTGGGGACGGGGACAGGGTCAGAGCTTTTGCCCTGGAGGCACCGTGCCAGGGAGAAGGCACCCCTCCCCCCTCAAGCAGACGGTCCCTAGTTAAGTGGATTCTACAGCAAAGGAGGTGGGAGGGGGTGAGGCACTGGGTTACAGGAAGCAGATGGCAAACTCCACCGAGTCCCCGTGGACAGGCAGCGGGCAGTGTCAGAGGACCTCCAAGGGATGATGCAGCCCCAGGCTCAAGGGCACTCACTCTAGACCTGAAAGGACAGGCCAGATGGAGAATAACCCACACAGGGTCTTGGGGCTTGGTGTCCATCCCCGTGAGCTTGGGAGCTGGCCGGACCTCACCGCTGACTGGTAGCAATGAAGGATTCTGGCCCTGGATGATGTGGCTCAGTTGGTTGGGCATTGTCCCAGGCCCTAACAGGCTCCTGGTTTGATTCCTGGTCCAGGCACATGCCCAGGTTGCAGGTTTAATCCCCAGCAGGGGTCATGCAGGAGGCAGCCAATCGCTGTTTTCCTCTCTGATAGTCATGGTGCCGGGCATTGCTGTTACCTGGCCGGACCTCACCGCTGACTGGTAGCAATGAAGGATTCTGGCCCTGGATGATGTGGCTCAGTTGGTTGGGCGTTGTCCCAGGCCCTAACAGGTTCCTGGTTCGATTCCTGGTCCAGGCACATGCCCAGGTTGCAGGTTTAATCCCCAGCAGGGGGCATGCAGGCGGCAGCCAATCGCTGTTTTTCTCTGATAGTCATGGTGCCGGGCATTGCTGTTAACGCCTTTTTGCAGAAGGAGAAACTGAGGCTCAGAAAGACAAAGTCCCCGGCCCCAGCTGGCATGAAAAGAGCACCTACTGTCCATAGCACCACCCTGTGCGTGTCAGGTGCTCGGCACAGTGCTTGGTACAATCAAGTGCTCCATATAGGAGCCTCTGGCAGTCACTGAGCAGGAGCCAGGCCCTGGGCCTCAAGCTCTCATTTTATAGACCCAGTAAGGGAAGGCTGGGATTCGAACCCAGACCCGGCAAGCTCCAAAACCCACGTTCTCGATTCACATACCCTGCTCCTTTCATTTGAGTCCAGCTGGGCAGGCAATGATAAAAGTAACAACCACAGAAAGTATAATGGCCGTTTAATGCTGGGCACCAGCCAACACAACAGATGGGGAGTGACTGTTCTCCCCATTTCACAGATGAGGAAAATGAGACCCAGAAAGGCTAAGGGGCATTGCCACATCGTTAGGAACTGAACAAGTAGACAAGTGACCCCTCAAAGAGCAGAAGATAGGAGGTCAAAAGAGAATTTGGGAGGTTGGGGTGAGAACCGTCCAGGTGAGGAGAAGCCCGGTTTTATTCGTGGTCAGCGCTAATGAGTCATCTGGGCAGCACCTGGTGCCGGATGCCCCCTTTGGGGCCCACCTCACACAGGCCCGAGGAAGCAACGTTGCTCTCAGTGACACCGCTCATACCCCTACGAATGCCCACAGCAGGGCCTCGGGGATGGCTGTGCACTGCACGAGGTAAGCTGAGTACCTTTTGGCAGTTTGAGAGGGGGCGAGCCAGGAACAAAGGCTTTTAGGAGCTACAGCCTCCGCCCTAACTTCTCACCAGCAGCCCCGTCATATGGAGAGAACGTGTGCAGAGTCTTCCTCCCAGCCCGGGAGGGCCAGGCCTGGGCGTCCCACGGCTTTGTGGCCCCAGAGCCTCGAGGTGTTCAGGATGTGTTCATGGAGCGGAACCGAACTGAGCAGACGTTGCCAACCCTCCATCTGCCGAGCCTGGCAGGAGGGAGAGAGAGTTTCCCAGGCCCGGCTCCGACTGGGAGGGAAGAGGGGGCGCGGAAGTCTCCACCCCCCGAAACACACAGCCATGGGCCTGGCCACCGTGGAGCCGGCTGGCATGGCTGCTCTGGGGACCGATCCAGCCGTGAGCTCATCCAAGTCATTGCGAAGAGGGGACGCCAGGAGGGGGCGCAGAGGGGAGGGAGAAAGGCAAGCTCCTCGCCTGTGAGGTGCGGACATTCTCCTCCAGACCCACATTCTTCATTTATTCCATAAGCGTATCTTAGCATTTAACCTGTGGCAGGCACCCCGCAAGCCCCTGGTGTGTTTTTAGCTCATTTAATCTGCACAGAAACCCCGGGAGGCACCTTCTCACATCCCCACTTTACGGCTTTTGTCACTCATTCAAAAGCATTTATTGAGGACCTACTGTGAGCAAGGCCTGGTCCAGGAACCAGGGACGCAGCCATAAACAAAATACACAGAAACCCCTGCCCTCATGGTGCTGATATTTGAGTGAGAGAGACAGACAGGGAATAAAATTGTCAGATGGTGCTAAGTGCCAAGGAAAAAAGTGAAGTAGAGAAAGAGAGAGCTGAAATTTTGAATGAGGATTATGAGGCGTGGGGAGGTTCAGTGACTTGCCCAAGGTCACGCAGCAGTAAGGAGTGGAACTGGGATGTGAATCCAAGTAGGTCTAGAATGTGTGCTCATGACCACACGCACTGGTGCTTAAACATGAGCATGTCTCATACTCACCTGGGAGCTTGTTGAGGATGCAGGTCTAGACCCAGCCCAGGTTCTTGCGGGGCCTGGGAAACTGTATTTGCAGTGTTTCTGAGGTAGGTGGTCCACGGTCCTGGCTCTGAGAAACCCTGGGTGTGGTGCCAGGAGGCAGGAGGCCTTGTGAGAGCTGGGGGTCTGGCTGGATCCCTCCTCTGTGTTGTCACTGACACAGTGTCCTGACCTGACCATTTCTGAGGTGGTAAGATTGCTTCTTGCCCCAGGGATCCCAGCCCAGGGATCACATGACTTTTCCTATTGGGTTCATCTCTGGCCATTTCTTTTCTGTTGCTTTTTCTTTGTTGGCTTTTCAGTTTTACGAGTGAGGCCCTGCATGAAGGCTGAAGAAGGATTTAAGGCCCCAAAACATCTTTTTCTTGCGTATTTTTAAAACATCTTCCCTCAGCCCTAGCGGGTTTGGCTCAGTGGATAGAGCGTCGGCCTGCGGACTGAAGGGTCCCGGGTTCGATTCTGGTCCAGGGCATGTACTTGGTGGCAGGCTCCTCCCCAGCCCAGGCCCTGGTCGGGGCGTGTACAAGAGGCACCCAATCAATGTGTTTCTCTCACATCGATATTTCTCTGTCTTTCCCTCTCTCTTTCATTCTCTAAAAATCAATGGAAAATATCCTCGGGTGAAGATTTAAAACAAATAAAAACAATCTTCCCCTATTCTCCTCCTTTTTGAACCTGACCGGCTGAGCATATAAGCTCCTCCCCTGATTTCCCTCCGGAGGCTGTTGGCAGTGTCTGCGATGGGCCCTGGGATGCCAGATTTTTCTGCACGTGGGGACTAGTCAGTGTTGTTATGTGTGTTTCCAGTCTCGGTTCAGGAAGCTTAAGTGGCCTGAAAATTAGAGTGAGAGGAAAATCTTTGCATTAATTTCCGGCTCCTTGAGACGGTGCAGAAAAATCTCCACTGTGAAAGGGGAGGGAATCTTTTTCTTTCTTTTCCTTTCCTCCTGGCTGTGTGCTAACATAGGGTTAATAATGGCTAGGTATCTGGCGTGTACCTATAGGGGACAGCAGTACACTTAACCGGCACTAGGCATCTGTCCCTATTGTCAGGCCTGGGCTCTGATTGGTGGAAACCAAGGCCAAACCTGTTTGTAAATATTTTCAAAGTCGCCCGTGATTAGCAATAGGGTCAGAGAGGAGGCCCCGAGGCCCTGTTCGTGTTTTGTAAACAGGGATCCCCTGTGCCTTTTAGGATGAACAAGAAGAAGAAGAGGCAGCCAACCAGAAACTCGCCCTCCAGAAAGCCAAGGAGGTGGCAGAAGTGAGTCCTCTGTCCGCGGCCAACTTGTCCATAGCTATGTAAGTGCCCCCAGCTGTGGCTGGCATGCTCTCCAGGCTCCTCGGCCTCTGCACCCTCCCCAGTCAAGGGTTTGGGGGCAGGAATCGGTCCTTGACAGGGTGGAGCTTTAGGAAGAGGTATTTCTGCCCTCCCACTCATTTTTGCACAATATATATTAATTAGAGGCCTGGTGCACGAAACTCAGGCATTGGAGGAGGGGGGTCCCTCAGCCCAGATGTGAGAGGGCGCAGGCCAGGTGAGGGACCCCACTGGTGCATGATCAGGGCTGGAGAGGGACACGGGAGGTTGGCCAGCTGGGAAGGGACCACGGGAGGGATCCAGGGCGTGTCCAACCCATCTCACTCAGTCCCGATCAGCTGGACCCCAGCAGCAAGCTAACCTACCGATCAAAGCATCTGCCCCTGGTGGTCAGTGCACATCATAGCGAGCGGTTGAGTGGCCTTAGCATATCATTAGCATATTACGCTTTGATTGGTTGAACGGATGACTGGACACTTAGCATATTAGGCTTTTATTATATACGATAAGCACCTACTTACTATGTGCCAGGAACTGTTCTAGCTGCCGGAGATAGAGCATTAACAAGGCATTAACTGTATAGCGAGTGCTAGGAGTGGAGAGAGTTGGGATTTTTATTTTATTTTATTTTATTTTTATCTCTTACCCCCTCTTCCCGCCCCCCTACCCTCCCCAGCCTTCCCGCTGTCAGGATTTTTAAATATAGTTGTCAGGAAAGGCTTCACAGAGAAGGTAACAAGGGCCAAAGGAGGGAGGAGTCATGGGGGATCAGGGGCAGATCATCAGGACCTCGTGAACCGTGGGGAGGACTTAAACTTTTGTTGGGAGTAACGAGGGAGCCATGGAAGGTTCTTGAGCAGAAGGACAGGATCTGACTCAGGAGCTCACAGGCGCCATCTGGCTGCTGTCAGGGGAGCAGACGGGGTGAAGGCTGGAACCAGGAAACCAGGTTGGAGATGACTGCCCTGGTCCATGCAGGAGATAGTGGTGGCTGGACCCGAGTGGTGGCTGAGGAGGCGATGGATACAGCTGAATTCTAGACAGATCGTGACAGTAGAGAGAGTGGACAGAGTTTGTTGGTGGATCACAGGTGGTGAGAATGAAGGTGTCTTGATGGAAAGGAGATTTGTTGACACCATATTCTTAATTGTGCCTGTGTGGGGTGTCCTGGGGATTCTGCACACTGTGGGGCAATGCATCATGGGACAATGGCAAGGAGGCTTTCTCTCCCCAAGTAGAAGGAAGTGGCTTGGGATGGGGAGCCCGGAAGATGCATGCTCAGGCAGCCTATTGGAAGGCCAGGGTCTGTATAAAGCTATCCTGCAGGCTGCTTTGCCCCAGTGCGTAAATAGGCACCTCCCATAGGCTTCTAAGTGCCCACTCTGGCTCTCCTGGGACTCCTAGACCAGTGGTCGGCAAACTGCGGCTCTCGAGCCACATGCGGCTCTTTGGCCCCTTGAGTGTGGCTCTTCCACAAAATACCGACTTCTGCGCATGGGCCACGAAGTTTCAATCGCACTGTACGTGCGCGCTGGTATTTTGTGGAAGAGCCACACTCAAGGGGCCAAAGAGCCGCATGTGGCTCGTGAGCCGCAGTTTGCCGACCACTGTCCTAGACCTCCTATGACCGGAACTGCAGGGTGGCAGGCAGTGCGGGGCCTCCAGATCTGCTCCAGGCCAGTGTCCATTATGATTGGCTGTGTCAGAAGTTAAAATATTGGGAATATCCAGACTGCCTCCAGGGAGTCATGTGCTATAATATAAAGAGGACTATGGGGGCACCCACCTGGGCTGAGACCCCCATCAACCAAAATGCCCAGCCAGGTAGAGATTTCCATTGTGTATCTGGACTGAGATGCCCACCTGGGCCAAGATACCTGTAAAGCCAAGATGTCCAGCCAGGTTGAATTTTCCACAGTTGAGACACCTACTTGGGCCAAGATGCCCACCTGGGCCGAGATGCCCACCTGAGACAAGATACCCACCTGAGACAAGATACCCGCGTTGGTCAAGTCTGCCGTAAGTTCAGTGTTCCATGCAGGTACAGTGGTCTAATCCTCGAACCCTTCCCTTGCAGGAAAGAGCAACAGAAGAACCAGAAGCCGGTCAAGTCCGTGTGGGAGCAGCGGACCAGCGAGATGCGCAAACAGAACCTGCTGGCCAGCCGGGAGGCCCTGTACAATGAGATGGACCCCGACGAGCGCTGGAAAGCTACCTTCGCCCGGCACCTGCGGCCCGATATGAAGACCCACCTGGACCGGCCGCTGGTGGTGGACCCCCAGGAGAACCGCAACAATAACACCAACAAGAGCCGGGCCGCCGAGCCCACGGTAGACCAGCGCCTGGGCCAGCAGCGGGCCGAGGACTTC